TCCATCCCGCAGCCTGGCTGCCAGGAGCGCGTTGTACACGGGGCGCTGGGACGGGCTGCCAGTGTGAAATTTGGCGTGTACGCTGCTGGCTTCGACGCATCATTAAAAAGGCATTTAAAATGTGTTAATTCCTCCTTTTTCAATTAATTGCTTTTAAAGCTACATTAACGTGCATCAAAGCAAAACGCCCTTTGCCCTCATTTCTGCTTTGCCGTACGTATTTCCCGGCCTTGACGCTGTCTTTTCCAAGACTCTCCCCTTCCCTTTTCTTACCCCAGGTCCACAGCACAACAAAAACACTCAGGCAGAAGGGGAAGAAAGGAAAACAATGTACAGCGGAGTCCAAGTCCTAACAGCACATGGCTTCTTAACAGCCTTTTTCCATCAGTAGTCATTAATTATTTTACAAAAGAGGGAAGTGGCATTGTCCCTTGTGCAGATGGGGAAATCTGAGACACAGCAAGGGGAAGGACTTACCCGGTGACCAGCGGCCTGCCAGGGCAGATGGCAGCAAGGTTCGGGTTTCCTAAGCCTCCACCCAGCCCCGGACCCGCGGGATTGCGTGGCTCCCCGTCAGCGTATTCCTGCCGGAGCAGCGGGCTACGCGTCAGCGCAGTCAGCCAGCCCTTGCGCGGGGACTAAACGCAGAGCACGACTGACTCACATCCTATAGGAAGGAGCGGCACACCACGTACGCGGTGGAAACGCAGTCTCAGAAATGGGAAGAAGAACAAGTGGAAGCATAATGGGAATAAGCAGGGGTGGAAGGGGAGAGGCAGGACTAACCTCCAGCCCTGGAGAGGGGAGAGCAGGCGCTGCCGGACCAGACGCAGCCCGCTCGCCGTCCCCGCGGGGCAGGACCGCACGGATGCGCAGAGGCAGGGCATCGTGCAGACGCATTACCGGCCTGCCCTGGAGCAGTCTGGTTTTCTACTGTCTGCTGTTACGTGATGAAGGTCCACGACTTTCTCGATCGGAGAGAAAGCAGAAGCCACTGCGGGTCCTGGGAAGCAGCTCCCGCACCTCTGCCAAGAGCACACCCGGCAAACCTGCATCACGGCAGCTCACATCTCGCATCCAGGCTCGCAGCGATTGAAAAACCAGCCCTGCTTTAGTTTTGCCTGGTTTTTCTCAGCCAGCTGAAGGGAGCACCTTCCCGGAGGCAGCGCCAGCCCACGCTGGCACAGAGGGCACGGGGAGACTGCATTTCTCCCCCAGCAGACTGAGCTCGCCCGAGCCCTCCTGGCTCCTTCCAGCCCAGGACTACGGCACTGCAGCAGCGTGGCGGCCATCCCTCTCGCAGGGAAAAAGCTGCGCTAGTGCTCCCCGGCTTGAAAAGAAACACTGATGTTTGAGGGTATGAGCAATGGGAGGTTGGTAAGGAAAGGTAATTTCTTTTACTAGACCAGCTGAGATTTGGCTGTAAAGCTGCAGCTTTCGAAAGGCACGCTGCCCAAAAGGGGGTCTGTTTTCTCCAGCTATAATGAGCTGATCTAACAGAAGACGCTGCCTCCTTCTCCTTACAGCCCCAGGGTGGAGCGAGGGTGCAGTGATCCCGAGCGGGGCGAAGGGGCCCAGCTCACCCCACGTTTGGGAAAGGCAGATGAGCAATGAAAGACCCGAGATCCACTTCTCTTCAGAAAACAACCCTGGAACCTGGCACCAGCGCTTGCCCCGTGAATCACTTCATCTGCGTTCTGAGCACAGACTCTGGCCCAAAACCAAGGCTCTGGAAATGCGCAGGAATGGCGTTAACTTCTCTCCCCTGGGCTGAAGGGTGGTAAATTTGACGGAACCAGCTGTTATCAGGGACGTGCTAAACTCACAGCCCACCACAGACGAGATCCTGCATTCCCAGCTCCACTGCTGCTCTGAAACCAGAGACCACCAGGCACCCACTGCCTGAACGCAACATCCATCGCCGCGGTGTTGCACTTACGTCCCCCGGGACAGCCCAGCGTGTAGAAGCAAACCCCTACCCTTTTTACTGAGGGCTTTATGAAACTCATTACCACGCAAAAATTATCTCAATCGGCAAAATCACCACGAAAAGCAGTCCTAGCGCTGTTGCTTGGATGAGTAAATCGAGCTCCTCCCCGGGCAGTGACTGCAACAACGTGGAATGGGGTAAAGGGTAAGCAAACAACTCCTAGGATCCTCTGCCTGCACAACCACCAGCGTGTTTAGCAACGCGGGGCTCACGCGGTGCCTCTCGCCCAGAGAGCTCACCCGGTCCGCGAAGCTGCCCTGGAGAAAGCATCGGGCGGCCTCCTCAGGCACCGAGTCCGCAGAGCGGACGGAACGGCCAACTCCTCTCTCTGGCTCTGGTCACTGGGACACACGTCCCGCTGCCACGTGCGTGCCACCGCTCTGGTCCACATACCCTGCTACCACACATGTGCCACTGCTCCATGACACGTGTCTTGCCACCACGCATGTGCCACCGCTCTGGTCCACGCACAGCTCGCAGATGCGCAGGGACCTCTGGCTCCGCATCCACCTCGCAGATGGCTTGCGGGCAGGGAGGGAGCTTGCAGAACAACCTGAGAATGGAGAACACGCCGAGCAAGCAGGGAAAACACGGCGCTGCTGGAAACGCAGCGTGGGCCAGCCTCCGCAGGGCTGTGTCAGGAGGTGTGTTCGAGGAGGTCACATCGGCCAGGCAGAGGAGCTGATGGCAGGCACGGAGCTCAGCACAGAGCTGTTCTAGAAGGTGATTTACACCATCAGAGCGCAGTGCCAAATTCTACTGTTGCTGGCTTAGCATGGACACAAGAAGTAGTTTTAGATGCGTAAACAGCCCAGATACGCAAGCGTCCAGAGCTCGTGGCCAAAGCCCAGCCTCAGCCCGGAACCGCTCCTCGAACGCGCTGAGGCTCAGGGCGATGCACGCGTCAGCTGCAGAGCTCTACCACGGCCTGAATGTCCACGGGCAGTTTATAGGCTAGTCCGACCGCTCAAGAATACAGCCAAAAAACTGCTATTAATCCAATTTCCCACACTGCGATGGCAAACATACCTTCCTACACCGCAGACTGGCCTTCTGCTCCCAACCACTCGAACAGCACTGAGATCAGCCATGGTCTTGCAGTGAGCTCCACCAAACCCATTCTGGAAACAGCCCCCGCTAGATCTGAGCAATTCATCCGAGCTCCACTTAGGCTCTCACCAGTCAGGAACACTGCATTTTTTTCCTTCCTTGCAGACCCTGAAATCACAAAGGGCTCCACTAAAAGCATAATCTTGTCTTGCCGAATTGTATCTCACAGCTTTTTCTCTCTCTCTTTCATTAACAAATGTTTTAAGCCCCATAAAATGCATGTAATTCTTGGAAACGTGTCACAGACCGAGAAGCAAATGCAGCCCATGAACTCACCAACTAATGCCTCCAGAGCGGCTTTGCCTGTTGGAAGCAAACAGCTGAGACAATACGTGGTTTTCTGGTGAGGAGCAGAACAGAACTGCTGATGGAAATAACGTGCAGACAGAAAAGCCGTGCTGGTTTCCCCACGTCTTTGGAAAGGGATGTTTCTTGTTTCATAGCCAACGGTTTATTTTCCCCACCAGCCACCCAACCCAGCATCCCCACATGTGGTCTGCGGTTCAGTGCCACCACAACACATCCCGGTGGCACGGAGAGCAGACTCCTGGCTTGCCACAGCATCACCTCATTAAGACGCATCTCAGACGGAGCAGCACAGATGGGACATAGCAGAGCCACAGCACCTCGGAGGCATCTCTTCCAAGGCAACACACTATGCAGAGCTAAAGGAGAGCGAGCTGACGTGTCTCGTGCAGTACTCGTGGTCTCTGAGTTCAAACATGGCTCTTAAAAGAGAGCTGCTCCAGCCCCTCTACCCTCAGCTCACCATTCCCCATCGGCAGCCCCTGCAGCCCTCTCCTCCAGGAGAACTAGCCAGGCCTCTCCCGGCATCTGGACTACCCCGAAGTCTCACTCAAACCAGGTCAGAGGGATCTCACGTCAGGACCACCAGTACCATGTGGATAAGCGATGCCTGAATATCCCAGCAGTGCCAAGCAGAAGCTTTCTTCCCATGTGTTATTTCAGTCACCTCCCACAGCGACACAGCAAACCACCTGTGGTCCCAGGTGAGCACAGGAGATCCTCTGGTCCCAGGTAAGGGAGATCCTTTTCATCTCCCCAAGGGCTCACCCCCCCCCGCCCCCGGCCTGCCGCTGCATTCCCCCTCGGTGCTCACAGCGCTGGAGCTCGCCCTGGCAGCACAAGCCAGCTGCTCCCAGCCTGTTCGCCCAGCAAGACCTTCCTGCCAACCAGGAATACGTTCAAGCTCGAGGTAAAACCAAATCCAATTTACCCCAACAGAGCAGGAAAGTAAACCCAGAGACGCAGACAAGCAAGGGATTTCTCTTTGCAACATTTATGACACGTGCAGAGGGGACAACTGCAAGTAAACAATTTGCTTCGTTAAATGAGACTCGGACAAGGGAGGCTTTCCTGGGCAAGATTACATGGAAGGACTACCAGCAACCGATTCAAACCCTCCAAACGCCAACGTTAAATAAAGAGATGTGATAAACGAGAAAGGTCGAGTAAAAATCAAATCAGGGCACAGTATCCAGAAAAGCCAGACATGACCAGCCCTAATTCAGCCTACAGGAGCTTCCAAATTGTTCTGGTGCATCTAAGAGCCCAGTAACTGCAAGTCCACGGCTGCAGCAGTTATGGGGAAAGCCGATATGGTTCTGTTTCTCCAGAGAGGTCACCCCATCTCAGTGAATATCCTCCAACACCACCAAGCACTGTTCGGCACATTAGGAACCGCCATCTACACTGATGTCAGCAGCGGCTCAGAGCCTCAAAGGTAGCTCTACACCAGCCAAGGGGTTCCCAAAACGCAAACCCCACACCCAGCTAGCACCCCCACCCGTGGTCATTGTCCCCTCACCTTCGAGAGATCCTCTGTCCCTCCCTGCTGGCTCTGGTTCAGGAGAGGCGAGTGCCGCATCAGGGGGTCCTGCAGCAGATCCAGGCGCGGTCTCTTGGTTTCGATGAACTCCAAGTCCGACGGCTTGGTCAGGTCAGAGAGATAGGAATGCGCCTCGGTCCTCAGGTGCAACTCCTGAGATCTGGGGGCAAAAAGCAAAGAGCCTTTAGAAAACAAACCACCTCTGCTGTCCCACCGCAAGCCACTCGAGGAGGAGGGGGGCTCAGCTTCTGCCCGTTTCCCAGAAGGATGTATGGAGGGAGGCCAGGTGGCCCTGGACTCCAACATCTGGGGTCTTTGCAGACCCAGGAGGCACAGCTCCATAGCTGGGTCGCCGGGCACGGGGCATCTGGAGCGCTGGCTGCACGCAGGCAGACCGGGCATCCCCCGGGGCAGCAGGACAAGGGGTGCAGCATCACCCGCCACCCTCCAAGCCCAACCACCCTGCTGTCCCCCTACTCTGTGTCCCCCGGAAAGCCCCACTGCCACCTCCTGTCCCACCACGCACTGTCCCCACACCAGGGCAAAGTGAATGAGGTCAGAGGTCTGAGTCTTCCCTCTCATGCCGCATGGGCCGAGCTGGCCAGAAAAAGCCAGAGCTTGGCAAATCCTCAGATTTGGCCCAGAAATCCCCCTGTGGCCCCTCAGCCCAGGCAGAGCCCCCTTCTGCCACGTTTGGCTGCTTTAGTCAAAGGTACCTGCACCACCACTTATATTTAGCACCCTCTATACGAATACCACAGATTATATGCTGGGGGAAAAACGCATACTCCTCCGTGGCTAGACAGTAGGGATTTGTTTTTCCAGCATGGGGGAGGAAAGGAGCCGGCCGCATGTAATTGCACGTCTCTGACAGACCTGGCAAGCTGTAAAGGCACCTTATCCAGCGACAGCAACTGCACCCACGAGTCACTTCAGGCTCAAATATCTTTCATCTGTTAAATACGACGCAGTTGGTGAGGCCTGGAAATTGGGTTTGGTTTTGATTGGGTTTTTTTTTTTTTTTTAAACAAATGTAAAACTTTTTTTGTAGCTCTATTTTCCCTAGTAGGATTCTCTTGTGGGAATTGTAAAGGGAACCTACAAAAATACATTAAACCTTTTACTATGCCCAAGGATCAGCTTTGCTGCAGCAGCTCCAAGGGTGTGTGTTTAACACTTCAGGCAGAAGTGTCTCTTAAAAAAAATAAAAATAAAATGAAACACAGGAGATTCAAAGCTTGGAAAAAACCATGGCTTGTTTTCCTTTCCTGTTAAACAAGATCGCCCAAGTTCCCCCGAGCTGCGTGGTGAAGAATCCTCCCCAGTCACCAAAACCCCTTCGCAGCTCCTCGCCAGGGAGAAAGGGAGGGGTTTTGTTTTGTTGAGAAGTATAAAAGGCGGGGGGGTCTTGGGCATCATTTGGCCCCCACCCACAAACCGCAACCGCTGACGTGAATTTTCACCTAGCTAATGAAATATCTCAAAGCTGATGACAAGAACGGAAGGGCCCCGAGCCCTCTGAAGCCAGCCGGAGTCTTCACAGCGGCTGCGATGGCTCTGGGTGGCACCCAGCGAGGAGGGACCCCAGTGAGCGCCGCTTCTCGGG